TCTCACTCTTGCTGAATTAAATTTTCTTTAAATTAACAAAAAGAAAGATAGAAGTAGATAAGAAGAATAAGTTCTGGTGTTCTATTGCACAGTAGGGTGACTAAAGTTAACAATAACATATTTTATATTTCAAGGAAACTGGAAAAGAGGCTTTTGAACACTATCACTGAAAAAAACTGATAAATTTATAAGGTGACAGATATTCTAATCACCTTGATTGGATCTTTATACACTGTATACATGTGTTAAAACATCACATCATACCTCATTAATACATACAGTTACTAAGATAAAATTTTTTTTTCTGACACGCAGAGTAGACAGTGAGAGAGAGAGACAGAGAGAAGGTCTTCCTTTGCCGTTGGTTCACCCTCCAATGGCCGCCGCGGCTGGCGCACTGTGGCCGGCCCACCCCACTGATCTGAAGGCAGAAGCCAGGTGCTTCTCCTTGTCTCCCATGGGGTGCAGGGCCCAAGCACTCGGGCCATCCTCCACTGCACTCCCTGGCCACAGCAGAGGGCTGGCCTGGAAGAGAGCAACCGGGACAGAATCTGGTGCCCCAACAGGGACTAGAACCTGGGGTGCTGGCGCCGCAGGCGGAGGATTAGCCTATTGAGCCGCAGCACCAGCCAAGATAAAATTTTATTTAAAATAAATGAATTTTTTAAAAAATGCCCTAGAATCACAAGGAAATTACAAAAGTCTACAAGATGAGGAAAGTTTCACAAAATACCAATTGATAGAGGATTTAAGGACTTTGACTTGTTCTGAGAGAACAGTTTGAGGCAGCAGGAACAGCCTAAGGGAAAGGGAAAGGTAGAGGTAGTAAAGTGCTAGATGTGACAAAAAGCAAAATAACTGATGAATATTTGGTGCCTAAATTATTATTATTTGGACATCTCTACCACTGATCAGTTCTAATGATCTTGTCCTGGAGTGCTATATTTACTCAGTTTTATTCAATGAATTCCTGAAAGCATCCAGATGATTATCTGCAGAATGGATTAGTTGTCATTACCCAGGATTTTCACAACTCAGTTGGAACCCATGCTATAACTACTGAATATGGTGTTATACTCCATTTACTCCCAAACAGGCTTCCTCTAGCTTTCCTGCAACAGCATGAACTGAATAAATACCCCAGAATCCCATGTAGGTGTCACGTACCACATTCATATTAAAATCAAGAGCTAATTATATTGATGTTGTGGTGATGCAGATTAAACTGTGGCTTTTGACTCCAGGATCTCATATAGAAATAGTGGTTCAAGCCCTTACTAGGGGCCAACGCTGCAGCATAACTGGTAAAGCTGCCGCCTACATTGCCAGAATCCCATATGGGTGCCGGTTCAAGTCCTGCTCCTGGCTGCTCCACTTGCGACCCAGCTCCCTGCTGTGGCCTAGCAAACCAGTAGAAAATGGCCCAAGTCCTTGGGCCCCTGCACCTGCATGGGAGACCTGGAAGAAGCTCTTGGCTTCGGATTGGTGCAGCTCTGGCTGTTGCGGCCAGTTGGGGAGTGAACCGGCAGAAAGAAGACCTCTTTCCCTCTGCCTCTCCTTCTCGCTGTGTAACTCTAAATTTCAAATAAATAAATCTTTAAAAAAAAAAGTCCCTGCTCCTCTGCTTCTGATCCAGCTTCCTGCTAATGTACTCCAAAAGGCAGCAGAAGATAGTCCATGTACTTGGACCCTTGCCATCCATGAAGGAGACCATTCCCGGCTTTGGCCTTGCCCAGCCCTGGCTATTGAGGCCATTTGGGAAGTGACCAGTGGATAAAAGATCTCACCCTTCCTCCCTGTTTCTTCTTCACTTTCTCTGTTGCTCTGCCTTTCAAATAAATAAGTATAAAAAAAAAAGATCTAATTATACATTTTAAGATAAAGAGTCCCAAAACAAAAAATGTAAAAAAATACAAAAATAAAACCATATAAATCTACAGATAACTCTAAAATTACAAGAGACCATAGGGGAACAAATCTATGTGTCTCAAACTGTAGGATCAGGGCTCAATAATTTTGTCTCTCCTCTTGCATTACCACTGAATATACAAATGCCCATAAGTTGCTGAGCAGCCACATTCAGCCATAAAAAGCCAAGGGAAAGGCTTAGAAAAAAAAAAAAAGTCAAGAGAAAACCATGAAGCAAAGAAAAGCAAATACTACTGGAGACAGGAAATGTTCCAGGTTTTCCAGTCCCTGGTCCCAAGCCCTAAAAGGGCCTGTCTGCATTTGGCTTCCAATGGTCTTCCAACAGATTCCTTTCTTCTTTCTTTTGCTAAAACTAATTCAAGTTAATTTCTACCCTCTGCAACAGAAGCTAAAATGAGGCAATAACCAAAATCATCCATGAAATCAACTGGTTGATTGATGACAGGTTTGTTTTTTTCCATATTTTCTTTTTATTTCTACTTCCCTAAAAGCCATAAATATGACTTTGGTATGTTAAATAAATACCCAAATAGGGATGAGGGTTTGTGCTGAGCACTTCAAAAAGAAAATTTATCATTTCAAGGAAAGAGAAAACATTGAATATTGAAGGTAAAACCTTGAGTTACCCGTACAGCTATAAGAAATGCTAACTTACATATACAAAACCAATGAATTAATTAGACAGAAGATCTGATTCAGTCTTCTCTGAGGTAGGATCAAAAATTGATAACCAATGTAGGGCATTTAACCTGGAATACTTCCAGATAATTAGCCCCAGCCTTTCCAACCACAGGAAGGTTTGTTAGCTCCCTGGCTGTACCCCCAGCACTGATTCAGATACCAAAACTGAATTATCAAATTGCATTAGGGCCTGGGATCACCTGTGCCCAAAGAGCAGTAAGGCATTTACCTTGTGAAAATAACCAGTAACATTCTGCTATTATGTGAGGGGAAGTGGGGAAGACAAGCTTAGTATTATAGAACTCTGTCTAGGTATATGCCACATATCAAGACAATCTAAAGCAGATCTGGACTCCCCAAAGCCCAAATCCACACTGATCCACACCCATCAGATAGGACTAAAGGTAGACCAGTTTAACATGTGTCACAAGTCAGGGACTGACAATCAGAAACAATAACTTCTTGTAGTGGGTGGCTCGCCAGGATTACAAAAACAAAAACATCATGGGAATTAGAAGGGACAAGGAAACTATGTCCAACTCCATCATTTTACAGAGAAGGACACTAAACATCGGAGCCAAATTCAACCATATATTAAATGATACAGGTGAAGGTAAAATCCAAGGGATTGTGACGGGAGATTATGATAGAAGAAAAAAGTGTGATTTCCTAAAATGGCTCTTTGATTGTTTAAAATATATTGTTATGAAAAATCAATTTTTAATAAGTGATAAATGTCTTAGAAAAATAAATAAATCCTACTCTTGGGATATTCTTTTGGATAGTCTCATTGCTTGAGCAAATTAGTAAGGACTTTTGACTTAATGGGTTAACATTTTAGTTAAAATATTGGAACAAGCACCTTTAAAAGCAAGAACAGCATGTTGATTCAAACTTTCAATGACGTTGTATGCTGCTACCTTGGCAGACAGGCAGCTTAGGCACTGTGACAGAAATCGAAATGGCAAAGAGCTATTTATTTTAATAAAAAAAAAATCCAGACATTCACATAGAGCCCCCATAAAAGTCACCAGAACACAGATCAATATATCAGCTGGGACCAGTTAAAAGGATATATATTTAAATGGTTCAAATAGAAACTTGGTGTTCAAAATTACTGGCAAGGGTCCACAGTACAGCGGATTTCAGTCTTCAAGGGCCATTTTACCACAAGTATTAGTCAAGTCAATTCACTGCTATGGCCAAAAAAAAAGGGGGGGGGGAGGGTAAAGCCTACAAATATTTCCTACAATCCACTCTTTATTATCCAGCCCAGTGTTTTTGAGAAGCCCACTGACAAAATGTGAAGTTAGAACCTGTTGTGTTTCCCAAGAAGTATATCAAAGTTACTGCTAAAATATGAATCTATAAAAAGTATGTCTTTTATAAAAAACATTATTACTCAGAAAGACATGAAGCTGACACCATTGCTTAAATTAGTACTTATAAAATTCACCTTTAATAAGTTATAAATTATAAATACCTGCTATCAATTCAAACTGACAGTTTTACAGGTTATATGAACTCTTTAGATTTCTTTATAGGCAAAACTATCTTTTAAAATCTACTTTCTCATCAATGCTACAAATAAAAGTATGAAGACATAAACCAGAGGGTGCTGAATATAAGCTATACCTAACAGAGCTGGCCTTCAACTAATCTGTAAACTCTAACTAGCTGTATCTTATTTCCACAGTTTTGCCTATTGGAGGAAAAAACAAAAGCAAACTAAAACGTCCTAAGTAATCTCAGCTCTCAGGAATGAATATGTTCTTCCATTCCGGATAAAAACAAGAAGCACTGACCACTAGTCACTCGTCAAAAACGCAAAAGTTCAAGCAATTTCAAATTTACCTTAAGCCTTACGCTGTCGCTTCCAATATTGCTTTGTGAAAATCTTATATATTAAAGACTCCTCCCTAATATTTTCCACATGATTCAACGAAAGCTATCTTTAACATCTCACTGCCACGACTTCAGACTGCTCAGCGCCCTAAGCCAAATAAGGCAGGAGCAGCACTTTTTCATTCATATCGTCTGACTTGCCATAGTCCAATTCGAAACTTAAAACACAAGACTTGGATGCCCTTTTCCGCTTACAAACAAAACAAAACGGGCACCTGATCGACCCAGGGAGCTGTTCGATTTTGGCCTAGCAAACGCCAGCTGGTCCCGCGGGAGCCGGGCCGGCGGCGCGGGAGGCGCGGAGGGCGGGGGCGCGGCTGCGCCTCTGGGTGCGCCCCTCCTCAGCTCCCGCACGCACGCCCGCCGCTCCCAGCGCCCCACTCCCCCACGCGACGTGCGGCTGGCGGCGCGGGCCTCACCTGTGCGTTCCCACGCCCGGGGCCCGTTATCTGGGCGGCAGCTCCGGCGGGGTGCCCCAGTGCGGAGCGCCGGGTTCCGGGGTGGCCCCTGCTGCGGGCCCCGCGCCCTCCGGAGCCCGGCCGGCACCCCCTTCCTGCCTCCCGCGGGCCGCCCCGCCAGACTCCTCCTCCCTCGGAGGCCGGCGCCGGGCGAGAGGAGCCCGCGGGCTCAGGTTCGCCCCGGGGACGGGATAAGGTGTCAGGGAAGCGGCCAGACGCCTCCCGTCGGCGGAGGGGAGGAGGGAGAGCCAGCGCTGACCTCCTTCCCCTGCGCCCCTCAGCGCCAACGACAGGCGCAACCCTTCTGCGCCCCTAATGGGCTCAGGCAGCGGGTGTCCCCGCAGGAAGCCGAGGGGGCGCCGCGGGCCCTCGGAGGGGCTCCGGGGTCGGGGTCACACCCTAACTTGGCAGGGTCGTGGTGGGGGAGCTGAGGCGCTGTGGGGAGGGAGCTCGAACTTACCGGATTGCGCGGCTTCCCACGCTGGGGACGCGACCAGGCAGAGGCAGAAGCAGAGAGAGAGGGGGCGCCGGAGGGTCCGCCGCGGGCTCATGGAAAGGCCAGGGAGCCTCCGCCGCCGTCCGAGCCGCCCTTCTTCCCTCCCCGGCTCCCGGCGACGGACGGGGCGGCGGGAGGCATGACGGGAAATTCCTGGGCACGGGCAGCCGAGTCCAAATATGAGCATAGGAGACGAGCGAGGGAGGACCGGGGAGCGCGCCGGCCGCGGACGGGGCCGGCTGCCCGGGCCTCGGCGGCCGCCAACTCCCTCCTCCTCCGCTTCCCCCGCTTCTCCTACAGGCGCCCTGAGGCCGCCGGCTGCCAAGAGCGCCCGGGAGGTAGAATGTCTCTGCCAAGGGCATCCCTTCCCAAAGCTGGGGCTCCGGAGCAGAGACAAGCACCCCTGTCCCCTCGCCGTTCCACCTGAGACCCCCCCTCCCCCACGAAGGGGTAAGAACGATGAGACAGCGAGCCAGGGACCAGTGGGAAGACGTGGCAGGGTTTGAGGAGGGCAATCAGTTGAGAGCTGTGGTGGTGAGGGGATCAAAAGTTGTGGCAAACAGTTCTCTAAGTGTAGGAGAGGAGACTGGAGCATTGCTGCCGGCTACGCAGGTGAGCCCGGCTGCACATACCGAAGAGGCGTCGTAATCCTTAAAATCACCTGTCCACCTGCCTTCCAGGTGAGTGGGACTTCTACACCGGGGAGGGCGGGATGTGTGAGTGTATGTGTTTTCTTAGCCACCATTGCAAAAGGGGCCCTTCCTGAATTTATATTTGAACACCATATATGGAGTCGAAGCAGGCTGAATGTAGTCTACTCTTTTTGTCACACCAGCTAGATGCTGAAGCTTACACCCATCTGCCTCTCCACCTCAAACCTGTTCCATCCCTCCATCACACGCACTATTTCTGCGCTTATTGTAGCTTGTCTAAAATACAGTGTTAAAATGTATTCTAAAGACTCTAGCTCTGATGGTCAGAATGTCAGTCCCAGATGCTTAATTACAAACCCAAGCCTGTAGCTGCCTGACTTTTCTTGGCACTGATTAACTCCTCTGGGAATCAAGTCCAAATGACCCTTAGCTTTTTATGACAACAAATTTAAGTCTTAATTAATGTAAATTTTTTTACTAAAAACAATGAGATAGGACCTGGAGATGTATAATGTTATGTTATTACTTACGAACATTTTAAGATGCTGGAGAAATGATGTATTGATGTAAAATACTTAAGGGGTAAATGTCAAATAGATTTAGAGCATGGATTATTCTAACATGCAGTAAAGTAATGGTAATTTGTACATCACACTATTTGTTTGAAAATGCTGTATTTGAAAACTAGAAACCTTATTTCAAAACAAATTCAATTTTGGCAAAGTATTAAGGCCCATAAGCCAAAAACCAGTCCATTTGCAAGTGGCTCCCCACAAAACATCTGGTATTGTAAAACGCTATATCCCATGAATTACGTCTGGCAAATGGGCAGATCTCACCCTTAATGTACTGGCAGTGATGTTGGGACTAAGGGCAAAGGACCTAAGTAAACTAGAGGTAAACAAATTTAATACATTAAGTGAGAAATCTAAATTACACATAAAATTACTGTTTAATTAGCTACCTAGGACCTGAGTAGTTGAAAGTACTCAGGAAACACTAGAGTACTTCGTCCTTTTCCTCTTTTATTGTAAGCATCTGTTTTTCTTCCCCCGGCCCCCAAAACACCTAGCATAGTTCTCTGCCCATAGCCCAAGTGTTTATAAACAAAATTCAATGAGGTGCAAGTGTCTGGCTTAGTGGTTAAGATACTGCTTGGGATGGCTGCATCCCATATCTGAGTGTCTAGGTCAAGTCCAGGCTACACTCCCCTTCTAACTTTCTGCTAATACTCACCCTCAGTGGCAGCAGATGATGGCTTAGGTAGTTGGGTCTCTGCCACCCACAAGGGCGATCCAGATTGAGTTCCGAGTCCCTGGCTTTAGCCTGGCCCAACCCTGGCTGTTGCAGGCATTTAGGGATTGAACGAGGGGATGGAAGTATTTTCTCTTTCTCTCTCTCATATCATTTAATCTTTACAAATATCACTGAGCTTATTATTTTATCTCTGTTTTTATAGCTAAGGAGACTCTTAAGTAATATGCCACCAGGAAGGGGGTGAAGTGATATTGGAATTCAAATCTGATTCTAAAATGCATATATTTTTGCCATACTAATCTGTCCTGCTTTCTCTATGTTTTAAAAAAAAAAAGCATGCAAAAATTTTTCACTGGGTTCTTGCAGCTTTTAGGAGCTGGTGTGTACTCAGGTTACTTCAAGAAATGAAGGTAAAGGATAGCTGTGGAAGTAAAACCAGAGACTTAACTGCCTTGTCAGCTCATCCGTTGTGGACCTGGGTGTGGGGCCTGTGCCTTTTTCAAGCTGGCGAAACAGAAAAGGTTCCACTCTCCGACCACATTCCTACCACTTTTGTAGTTTGACCACTGATATTTTAATCATATATTTCAGTGTTCTCTCTAATGTGTTTTTTTAAATAACCAAAATGGCAACCATGTTAATGTACTACTTTATTATTTTTTAAAGATTTATTTATTTATTTGAAAGAGTTACACAGAGAGAGGGGAGGCAAAGAGAGAGAGGTCATCCATCTGATAGTTCACTCCCCAATTACCCACAATGGCTGGAGCTGCGCCAATCTGAAGCCAGAAGCCAGGAGCTTCTTCTGGGTCTCCCATGTGGGTGCAGGGGCCCAAGGACTTGGGCCATCCTGTACTGCTTTCCCAGGCCATAGCAGGGAGCTGCATCAGAACTGGAGCAGCTGGGTCTTGAACCGGCGCCCATATGGGATGCCAGCACTTCAGGCCAGGGTGTTAACCCACTGCGCCACAGCGCCAGCCCTCTTAATGTACTACTTTAAATATTTAATTTTGAGGCAAAGGATCCAGGAGAGGTAATTGCTTCCAATCCATATGTCAGGGGTGGACACCTGATCTGTAGCACTAACCAATTTATATGGTCTACATACCCTCACTAACCTAAAGTCTCCGAAGGCAGAGTTGTAATGCAATACACTCAAGTAGCTCTTGGGGCCCTAGAGCAAGCTGTAGCACACCACCGCTCCAGATCCTCACAAAACATCTTCAGAACACTTGCATTGCACAACCACAGCTCTTTGTCTCTCCACCTGTCTTTCTACTTCTGCTCCCACGACCAGTTGCAAACTCTCTCCACGTATCTCATAATCAAATGCCCTATGGGGGAGAATCAGATTCTGTCACCATACTTGGATGAGTCTAGCAGCCTGTAGATTGGCCACCCTGAGCCAGATGCCCTTTCCCACATGCTATGGTACATGGCCAATTATGGTAACAAAACACTGTACTGTCACCTTCATATGGGGCTGTGCTTGGAACAGCCTCTTTCAAAAAGAGTGTATAAGCATGACAGGCAGCCAGGCTGTTCAATTCTCCAACATGCTGTTCTCAGCTCTTAGTAAAGTCCCCTTAGCCACTACAAAAAGCTATTTTCACATATCCCAAGGAACATCTTGGGTGGATTCCAACAACTGCACTCAATAGAATAGAAACATTAGGACTAGATGTTGTGTAGAAGTGCCAAACCAAGGAAAGAAACCCTAAATTAGTACTTTAAAGACTGGCTAAGTGAGACACCTGATATTTTCTCAGGTTCTGAAAGATTTCCATTGCTGCAACACCCTTCCAGCACACCATCAAGAAATCTTGCATTTGGCAAGATTTTATCATGTAAAATGATGTATGCAAAATCAGCACGCACTAAAATAACAGGGAGTCTCCCATGAAGTAAGATGGAACACCTAAACAAAGATGGAAGACGGAATCCAGGTGAACATTTTCCTTCTCCAGGTAATGTAGTTTGTATCTCAGGTGGTATTTTTTATTTTACATGGTTGAAGCCATCCCTTGATCAATTCTGGAGAGATCTGTAGTACATACACTCCCACAACTGATGTGTTGCCTGATTGTACCAACTTTGCTTTTGGATATACTATAGCAAGTGATACATATTTGGCATGATTGTACTTGTCAGTTTTTGTTCCTTTAACTAAAATACTGAGAGAAGCTCCTTAGGAAGGAACTTCAGGTCACGGTTTTGGAGGTTCACATTCAAAGATCAGGCAGCCCCATTAATCTGGCATGTGATAGTAGAGCATGAGTGGAGGGAAGACCACAAGGTGAGCAGGAAGCAGAGACAGAAGCTAGGCTGAACTGGGTTTAAATAACCAAACCTCTTAACAGAACTACCTCCCACTAGGCCCACCTCCTAGACGCCCAAATTATATCAAGTTGCTGTTTTTAAGCCATCAGCCATTAATATTACTCCATTAACCATTAATATAAGACTTTGGGGACCAAGCTTCTATAAATGGGCATTTTAGGGGGACACTAAAAACTTTTATCTAAATTGTAACAATTTTCAATATTTTGGAGAATTGAGTAATACTCTCTAGACCAGCAAAACTGGCTAGCATTTGGCAAGATTTTGGATGTGAAATGATACATGTAAAGTCAATTACATGGTGTGTAATGGGGCACACTGTATGGGAGAAGAATTACCTTTTTAAATGGTACAGGAAAATTCTGATGGAAGACTTGATTCTATTCTCTTTAGGTCTCTGTCCCAAGTGCTTCTTGTACCAAGAGCATCTAACCCCATAGTTTGAGTATCCACTGTCTATAAAGGTGTGTATTTTTCATATCACCTGGTTCCGAACTGCAAACTAGCTTTTCGTTCATCCAAAGTGGCTATGGCTACAGTCTGGTCCAGTGGTAAATTCTGGTTATAATGGGCTTCCTGGGAAATACTACATTGTTCTCCAAAATTATATCTCTGCAAGGGATTTATTTCTACCAATTTTTATTGTTTGTTTATTTCTGTCTATTTGTAACAGCGACACAGATGGGGGGGCATGGGGGGAGAGAGTCTATCTTCCATCTGCTAATTCACTCTTAAAATGGCCACATCAGCCAGGAGTTTGGAACTCCATATGAGTCTCCCAAATGGGTGGCAGGGGCTCGAGCACTTGAATAATCATCTGCGTTAGTAGGAATTTAGACTGGAAGTAGAATAATTGGGACTTGAACCAGAACTTGGATAGGGGATGGGAGTGTCCTCAGTGGCAAATTAAGCCACTGCGCCACACTGCCGACCCCTTTAGCAATTTTACCTCACCTAACTTTCACCCTTGTGAGCCACTGTTATAGCCCAATTTCCAGGTAAAATGAAGCTCCACTCAGAGTTAGGGACTTGTAATTTGGCATCAGATAGGTCTAGATTTAAGTGTAGCTTCTACCATTAGAGCTAGGGCTAGGCAAGTAACTACTTCTCTATGTCTTCACATTCTTGTTTAGGAAAATGGAAAAAATTAAAAGTATCTATCACACAGCTTCATGCTAGCACATGGGAAGTCCTCAATAAGTATCAGTGTAGTACTAATCTTAACTTCTGTCGTTGCTAACAATCGCCAGAAAGTCACACTGTGCCTTTAAGTCTTATCTGATAATTTTTTCTGTCTTAATTGACTCATAGTTTCTTTCATAAATCTGAGTCTTACATTTGTATTCATAATCTCCTCTTAAGTCTGTTCATATTTAGTAATCTTTACATGCTCACTTAAAAATACCTTTTATATTTATATTTAAAGTTAT